AGCGACGTCCGTGGAAGACGGTGTCGTATCCGAAAAATACCGCCAGGAGCGGCTTCCAGCAACCGTCGCAAGATGTTTGCCTTAGCTGATGATGGAATGCTGTTGCTATGCTGATCTGCTGTCACATGGAAGTTATGGAAGGACCGCGGCTCTGTGGACTCCACGGCAGCTGGGACAATAGAAGCGTCCCAAAAACAGTTCAGTTCTATATAGGGGCTTCAGAAGCACTTTGACCAGGCCTTCTTTGCATCGTGCAGACTAAGGACAATTGATCTGCCACGCAAAAGAGACCTTTCAGCGCCAAGTTCCTTTAAGCGTGCTTTGGTGGGACAGACCTGAGCAGGCGGGTGCAGCCATGCATGTTCTACACTCGTACTGCTTGCATGGCAAGGATTTAAGTATCGAGATCAATGCCGCTAACATGGCCATGCAGTTAAGAATGGTTCTTGTCTTACCCAGCGACCACGGTCCGCCAACAGAGACGTGCAAGATTCTTCTGCTGCTCCCTGCGACAGGTGACACATCTACACCACAAGTGTAACGACATGCAGGAATTTGCAAGACATGTCCAATTCCCGTTGTGTGGGACCGCTCTTCCCGCCGTTTCCCCAAAGCTAGGATCTACTAAAAGAAGTAGCGGGTTCAACAGGCCGCCAGGCGGGCTTGCACAGATGGCAAATTTGGGTGGGCTGGTCCCCCGGGCCACAAATTCGACAAGGCCAGCGGCGCCCATTGCATCCCCGTTCCCCGCAAGTTGGGCCTCCTGGTGGAGCACAGGTCTCCTTATGAGCTCAATTGGCGTACATAGCCGATTGGGCGCAGTTTGTGTACAGGTGCACGTGGTCATTGGAACATCCCAAAACCAGGCAGAAATTCCTGAAGTTGCAGCTTGCAGCCAGTTACAATGACCAGTCGAATGCCGACGTAGTATTATCATGTGCTGCTACATGCCAGGCAAAGATACAGCAGGGCGATCCAGCATAGGCCCTTGATGCTAGGTTCCGAGGCTGCGCCAGGAGAAGTTCTGTGGAGTTGCAAATGTTTTCTGAACCCGTGGTTCTCAGAGGCAAGTATGGATTTCTAAATCTGTCTTGTGCAGCCAGAACCTAGGTGGGTCGCGTGCATCGAGGAGCGTAGCTTTTGAAGTGCTGCGTTAAGCAATTCATTGCTCGACTTCTGTGCAGGGGGCTGAGACTGAGGGTGCATGGGAAGCATAGAGTCATAGAGAAGGCATGACAAGATGGAAGAGTGACAGACCGCACTGTTGTTTCGCAGCCTGGGGCAGATTGTGGCTCTCCGCACGCCAAGAAGGCTTCGAAAATGTCACCGGTGATACATAGCGTCATTGGTTAGAAGCGCTTCTGTTGCCACATAAAGGACAGGAGCTGCACGTGCAGATCGGCTTGCAGTGTCATCACGATGATGGAGCTTGGGCAGTAGGCTTTTCATGGAAGCTGAGCAGGGTCAGGACCTTCGGAACAAGGCAAGCCCTGACGGGCCTGATTTAATCAGCCAACCTGGTTTGACAGAATCAAGAGCGCGGGTCAGCGTTCATGGCCTGAGAGTGCAGCACTAGTAGACTGTTGCCGAGTCTAATGGCCAGATTGCCCCAATGCATAGTGCTAGAAACGGCAAGCAGCAACGGAGCCAGTGTCAGACCGGGAAGTGCAGCTCTGAAGCAAACTTTCAAGGGCATTCAAAGCAGATCTCGAGTTTCGGATGCTTTGTTAACAATTCTGCGGCCGGTGCGCTTGGACATCGCAAGACAGTGGGACGGCGACATCAGGACGGTTCACAGGTAGAGAAGCCAGTAGCGCTGACTGCTACGGTGACCAGTGTACTATGCACTACAGATCATCTTTTGATTCTGAGGCCGCAATACTACCCAACCTCCATGAACGTCTATGCCACAGGCTAGATGTCAGCATAACAAGCTAGTGTGGCAGACCGCGGCACCCATCGCACTTACAGTAGTGACATTCAAGGGGTGTTGGAGTCAAACATACTTCAGTCTGACATGTTCTTGCCGTTGTCACCGCATGCGAGAATCCAAGTCTGCAAGGGAGGCAGGGCCCATGATTCAATCCGCAGGCACAAGGCCAAGCGGCATGCTTTCAGCCTCCCAAGTCCGAATCCAACCTGGCCTTGGGAGGCCCGTTCCGTGCATCGTCTTAAATTATCCGCAAGCTCGGGCCTGCAGTAGATGGCTGGTGGCTGCGCTGATAACCTGAACACCATGCTAGCTGAGACGCATCAACGGCATTCAGCAATGTTCGCATTCGAGTTGTTTCAAGGCTTTTGTGATTTGTTAAACCTGGTTACAGCGAAGCGAGGATCGAAGATGCACCCAGTTTTGTTACTCGGATGCTCGCCATCAGACACCGCGCACGTTGAAGCATTGCGTGGAAAACAGCGCACACGCTCAAACGGTTCTTGTAAGACAAAACGGTCCCTATATTCCTGCTTGATCTACATGTCACTTTTTTGAACGTATGAAAACGTATGCAAGGGTATCGTTACGCGACCCCCCATCCGCCCATACCACTCTCCGAATTGCAAGGGCCGGGGTATCCTGCAGAGAATACCCTCCAAAGCGAAACTCTGCATCGCTGGCGTGCCACACGATTGAGAGACCACCATCTTCAAGAGTGGTGTACATGCTGTGCCAACGTAGCATTTGCTTCCAAGCAGCAACTTCCACAGAAGGGACTCCTGCTTCCAGTCAGCCATGGGAGGTGTCTACCACAATGTCTGCACCTCAGGAAGAATCGCACTCAAGCCACGGGAATTTCAATAGTTGCTGCCGAGGACTTCCCCGCACGCCGCTTTTTCGCCAACACCCGGGGCCTTTACATCACCGAGCCAATGGATGAAGAGACAGCTCGTGCCAAAGCTCGGAACTTGATGGCGGGCGTTGGCGAAAGATTAAGCTGTGTAGCATCGGGCCCAAACCCTAACGCCCTGCACCCAAGAACCTGATTTCCTAGGCCTGCGTCCTTCAAAAGCTTAGGAGTTTAGATCTTGAAACGCTCGGCAAGGCTCTCGGCTTGGAGCCTCCGCGCTTCCACCTCTTCGCCCGGCTTGCACAGGACAGCTTACACAGCGACAGCGCCCGCCTGGAGCAGGAGCTGGGGAGGTTGCAACACCCTCCCTGGAAAAGTAGTTTATGAAGCACGGATGGTGGCAGCGCATTCCTGTACGATGCGCGGCATATCTATACATACAAACACGTTTGCGGATCTGCACATGTGCATCTGCAGGCAGTGGTGTCTTTGATATGTACGCATGCATATGTATGTATGCATACATGCATGTATGTATGTTGGCTGTATGTATGTATGTATGTATGTAGGTATGTAGGTATGTAGGTATGTAGGTATGTATGTACGTATGTATATGTGTATGTATGTATGTATGTATGTATGTATGTATGTATGTATGTACGGAGGTATGTAGGGAGATATGTAAGTATGTAGGTATGTATGTATTTATGTATTTATGTATGTATGTATGTATGTATGTATGTGTAGTGCAGGTATGCGAGTAGGAACAGGGGGCAGCGATCGACGGACAGCTGCTCGGATCGATCGCTGATGTTTCGTCTTTTCGCCTCGCAGTGCATCATGGCTTCGTCAAGCTCGTCTGCGCCCGCTGCCATTGAGGCCGCCTTCGCCGCTGATTTTGTGGCGGCAGTGCCACCTCGCCGGATGAGCCGCCCGTCACGGGCGATGAGGGGAACGCCGTGCAGCCCACGTCGGGCGGCATGGCCAATGACGAGCCGGGGGGGCCTACTTCGCCTCCTTGGGGCGTGGCCCCGTTGGAAACGTTCGCCTATCTCGAGGCGGCGGTCCAATCTGATGGCGCAATCTTCATTTGCACCTTCATCGCCGAGGCTTCGGTGGAGGTGCTCGCGAACGCCTCTCGGCGGCTTACGGGGTGGCCGAGGCTCAGCCCTTTGTGGATGTGGCGCCTGTCGCAGGGTTGGCGTTCACCAGCCACTGTGGCACCACCGCCGCCTCCGGCTACTTGGACTACATCGGCGCCTTCGGCATCTTCGCCTGGTGGCGCTGTTCAGCCCGCTCCGGGCCAGATGCAACCACGGCCACCGCCGAGACCGCCTGAGCGGGCCAGCAGTGCCTCCGCCTGCATGGCGTCATAGTACGCCCCTGCTTGTGCTGGCGACCTTTAAGGTCGTCAGCCAGGGCGTCCATCGCGGCGGCCGTGGACCGGTCCGGCCGGCCAACATCAAACGGTCCTTGGCCGAGCTCCGCGACGACTTGCTGGCTGAGTTTAAATCGATCAAGGGGCCGTACGCCTCCAGACTTCGCACCTGGAACCAGATCGCCTTCAAGGGCAGCGTCGCCCCTTGAGCAGAGACCTAAACCATCGAAGAGCTAGCCAGACGCCGTGGCTGGCCGGGGCACGCGCTGAAACCTAGCCGAACGCGGCGAGGCGGCCACCGACGTCGACTTCGCCTGTGGAGCGCCTGAAAAACTGCCATTTGGTAGGTGCCGGCACCTGGTGGGGCGTGGGTGCGCCGGGCGGGCGCAGAAGTGCTCACCCCAGCACCGGCACCCAGTTTTCGGGCGGTGTGCTCGTCGGGTGCAGTCTGCGCTACGACCAAAAAAGGCCACTATACACCTTGAAAGGAGTTTTGGCTAGCACGTCGTTAGCGTACCGCTTGTTGTGTAGCGCATTTATGCGACTAGGAACAAGCGGCAGCGATCGACCGACAGCTGTTCGGCTCGATCGTTGAATTTTTGTCTCCCACCCTAGCCACCCTGAGGGAATCTGGTTTTAGTTTCGTCTGACTATCGGCCGGCATTCGGCACTCGCCTTTTGGGCGGTGCTCGGGGCGGGCGCAGAAGTGCGCACCCCGTCACCGGCACCGAGTTTTCGGGCGGTGTGCCAAGCCGGGCGCCGCCACTGCACCTTGGTAGGAGTCTTGGCTAACACGTCGTTAGCGTACCGCTTGTTTGTATGTAGGTGTGTGTGCCTGTATGTATGACTATGTCTGTATGATTGTGTAGTTATTAAGTATTGTTTTATAATGTATGTAATTGTATGTATGCATGCAGGGATGGATGGATGCATGTGTGTGTGTGAGAGGGAGAGAGTGTTTGTCTGTATGTATGCATGTCTGTCTGTCTGTCTGTTTGCCTGTTTATTTGTCTGTCTGTCTGCCTGTTTAACTGTCTGTCTGTGGTAGGTAGGTAGGTAGGCAGGCAGGCAGGCAGGCAGGCAGGTATCCATTGATCCATCTACCTGTCCCTCTATCGCTTCCAAGACTGTAACTTAGATCTTTCCACAGAGAAGCAGTTCAGCTAGACGCACGCAATAACTGCAAGCCAAACCCCCGTTGTTTCCAAGTCCTGGACCCTGTTTAGGATTTGTACGTAGTATCACTTTGCATTGACGCTGGCTGCATCCGAGTGACCTTCGTTGCAGGAGAGTGGCTCTCCTGGTGTCAGGGACGTGGTGGTGATGGCTAGCAGGGATGGCCAGCGCCAAGGCTAAGGCGCGCCACTAGAACGCAGGGTTTGCTGACAGCATTGGCCAGAGTGTCCCAGGCGTTTCTTGTTACTTTGCTGCAAACTGTCGCCAGACCGCAGGCGTGAATCTCCGATATCGTCTCCTTGCGGAGTGAGCTTTTGAAGATTTTGGAAGGGAAGGGTATGTAACTGGGGATCTCGAGGAGATCGGAGTTGCAAGCTTGGCTTGCTCTGATGCTTTTCCCGGCCTAGCCGTCCATTCCAGATTTTGTGTGCGCAGGTGAACTTTTGATTGAATGCATGTAATGTACGGACATGGAGCTCTAGATTGCTGCAGAAGTTTGGCTGCGCACGGAAAGACAGCGCAGGTGCCACAAAGGTTCTGTGCTAGTTTCAGTAGGTCGTTGATACAGCATCGAAGCACAGGTGCAAATCCATCCGTTGCCAGTGGCCGCAGGGTTTGCACCTCTTGAGCACGAGCTGCCAATGAGACATGCATGGTTGGGGCAGCCGGGCCGCTAGCGATGAACCGAAAAAGGTCGCCAGGAGGTCGTCTAGAAAGGCGATGGGCGACCGACGGCCGGCTGAGCTGAGGGTGATACAGGATGCCTGTGGGCACTCCAGGTTTCTTTCAAAAGTGACTTGCGAGTGGAATTTCTCAATTTGAACATCAGTTTTTCTGACCTCCCTTGCGGATGCCATACAGTCAGGCGGCCCTGGACAATTCCATACTCGAACGATTTAGCAGATCTTCGATGGTGCCGCTCTGGTCACAGCACCTGCAGACATGACCGAACTCCCAGTTTCCCTGAGGGTGCTTATCTGGGAGATGCAGTCAATGATTTTCAGCAGTAGGAAGGTCAGCTAGCAACTTCCCTGTCCCTGTCGCCGATCATGGCACCAAATGCAACAGGTTCACCAGATCCAGAGAAGCTCAGGTGCAGCATACACAAGCACAGCCAAGAACATCAAACACCTAGATCACTGTGGGCAGACAGAGGAAGTGTTTCGTGGAGTGCGCCGGCTGGGGAAACTTGCACACAAGCTTGCAAGTGCGGCTGGTGGCCAAGTAAGCGGAAATTTCGCATCTTTCCGTGCAGCATCTACCGAGACTCAGGTAGAGAGAATTCAACTGCACAGCTCGCAGGCACAGCGATGATTCGCTCTCACCATCAGAAGCTTGAACGTATCCGTGGCAGCACTCTTCGAAGCTGTTGATTACTTTTGCCGCCGTGTCGCAAAGTTATATTTCATCACAGTTTTCAGCCCTACAGGCTGTTTACACCTGCTGCGAAGGCGCCCACAAAAGCCCTGTACAGAAAGGACTTGGAAGTTGCGCCACAGGCCATCGGAAGCAAAGCTTTTCTGCGAATCGTAGTTTGCGGCGATCCCATCGTCTGGTAACTCTCGTAATCCTGGGAGAGACCGATTCGCAAACAGACAGCGTTTCTATGTCGTTTTATCTCAGGCCCAGGCTTGCGACCAACTTGCCGCGCGGGATGTGCTGTGCTGCATCCCTATTCAGCAGAGCCTGAATTTCAACGGATGGTTGTATCTCAGGCAGAACGAGATGGTTGCGCAACACCGGCCCTTGGTCCATCGCAGCAGATAATTCAAGCTGGCAGCTCACCAAGGTGTCACCTAAAGGACTTGCGCTGAAGTCCTACGGCGCACAGATGGGAAATCTTGTTGTCTTGTTGGTGTCGAGCCTTTCTACTCATCCTCATTGGTGGCACGTGCGGTCTCCCAGTGTGCACGCCAAAAGACTGCAGCTGTGAAGCACGGCACACGGTGTGACTGACAGCCCCTCCTGCGTAGAGCAGTTGCATCGGCGCGAGCAGAAAGAACCCTGCAGCAGTCAGACACATGCAAGACTTGAGCGGGTAGTTTCAACATTACAAGACCTTCCTAGAAGTTCGGTGGCGCTCAGGTGACAATAGTCTTGGTGCAGAAGGGCATGCGCTTCATAGCCTTCGATGCTTGGCGCATTGTAGCACTCAGGACCGGCGGCACCGCAAGTATAGCCGAGTGCCTTCCAACACGGCATTTCTTGCAGAAATCACCCAAAGAGTGACACATTCTCTCGAACATCATAGCCCGGTGCCATGGCCGCGCTTTGTTATAGCGAACTTTCAGCATCATAACTCAGGGTTTAGGTAGTTTAGGTAGGATTCAACGCGTAGGGATTGTGCTTAGAGTTTAGGATTATTGACTGAGATCATTTGCCGTCGTGGAGGCAAGAGCACAATAATAGTGGTAGCAACTGGTAGGAATATCAAAGCTGCACAGGTGGCCTAGAGCCCGAAAGCATTGCAGCCAAGAACGGACGGCCGGGCCGCTTGTCAGAGCTTGCGTCTGCCGAGACCAGCCAGTTCACTGATGTGACAGACGTCGTGATCGGCCTGGGCCGCGTGTTCGTCCTGTCCCGCGGCGGTGCGGACGGCAACAGTGTCGCTCGGAGAGAGAGAAATGCACGGCCCGGCCGATTTCTGAAGATAGCTGGAAGCTGCATGGACGCGAGAACGGTGTTGAAGTGCACAAGAAGTGTGCGCTATGGAAGTTCCCCCACAGCGCGCCACCTATCTTTCAAGGTCCTCTTCGAACTTCGGGAGAAGCCGCTGGAAGAGCGACTAGATCCCGCCTCAAAGGGAGTGCAGGGCCTTCATGGACTGTGATGCACTTTCAGCAGTCGTCTAGACAGCAAGCGCCATTCCGGTGATGCGTCCAAGGATGTACTCGTGAGGAAGCGGATGTTCGAGTGGGCGGCAGAGGCCCAGAGAGACGTTGAAAGCAACTATCTATGTGCTCAGAAAAGGCAATCTACTGATTCAGCCAGCCAGTGGCTGTGTGCAGAGAGCGTCCATGGAGCAGTACCACGTTGGCTTCCAACTCACCTTCGCGAGTTCAATGTGACAATATAGAACCCTAAAACAAAACCCTACAGCCTTAGAAAGCCCTATGCATGCTCCGAGAATGCCTGAAGATCCTAAGCCCACTCGCTCCGGGGAGGTGGCCTTGTCTTGCAGTGCCGCGCCAGAGGCAAGGACATGGCTCCAGTCAGCGCAGCAAAAAGTGATACCAACAAGTCGCGTACTCGGAATGATTATAGGAGCTGGAGTGATTAGAGCATCCCTCAATACCGCAAGAATCTTAGTTCTCCAATGCCCAAGCTTTAAACCTTTTGGGTTCTTGTAATTGAGTAGTAATCTGAAAGTCTAACCTTCTTTTGTTTCCCTGGCTTATTGAGGAAGTGAAGTAATTGCGCGGCATGTACAATCGCAATGGCCGCAATGGTAGTAACTCGTAGTAGTGCTGGCATGAACACCCAGTTGTTTGCGAGGTGACTGCCGACATCTACCGGCAGCACGGCGATGCACTCTTCGAAAAGAGAGCCTATGATCAGGCAGGGCTGTTCCAAGCAAAGTCATCCCGTGGATTGCCCCAAGCCTTGCCGTGCTAGATACCTCTGCGAGGGTGGCACTGTTATCCGACTGCGAGTAGCACCATTCGCCTTACCTGTCGCCCTCGAGTTGAGCCTGAAAAGTCCGCAAAGCCCTGAGTACAGTGATACATCTCGACGCACCGAGAGCACCCTGCCTGCCCAAGCTGTGCTCTCATTAGAGGGTGCCCAGCGGTGGGTATGGCAAATTTATGCATCTCTCCCAAATCGCCAAGGGTAGTACCGTTTTCGCGGCTTGTGTTGATGCTGTTTCTCTGTGCTCTGCAAGAGCTCTTACATATGTAAGAGGAAGCATGTGTGCACAAATGGCTGGCGCTCTCTGTTTTCCTGGCTTGAGTCTGTCTTCTTGTTGTCCGTTCGCTGCCTTGGGCCAAGGCTTTGGGGGTCTACGTGAAGACCGTGGAGTTGGGCCTTCCACTGGAGCCATCTTATGTCGTGGAGAGATACCTGGATGCCCAGAGGCAGAGCAAGTGCGTCATGCATGATGCTGCGGGTTAATAGGATCTTGGAGCAGCGTATACTGCGAGACCACTGTACGTGCCAAGAACCCTACTTCAGAATCGCACGTCCTTCCTTTTCGTGCTTGACAGAATCGGCCATGTTGCGCAATACCTCAAGAAGCTGCACGAGAAGGCCGGCCGAGGGTCCGGAGCGCGGTTTTGCACGAGAGGATACCTGAGTTGCAGAAAACAAGGAGGCCCAGTAGCAATACAGATCGGACTTGTGGCTGGCTTCTCTGAGGGAGTGTAGTGCACATGCAGCATGACATAGCTGAAAATCCAGGTTGACCCCCCCAACAATGCGTGCCGCAGTGCGTGCCTCCATCCAGTCTGGCTCTGCAGCCCATGCGTATTCGTGGCGCCGTTACACCTACAGTGACAGAGCAGAGTAAATTATCCAGCACGTGCACAGAAGCTCAGCAGAACGATCTAGAATCTAGACCTGGGCAGATAGCACGACCTCCCCGATCTGCCACCGTTTGCTGTATGATTGTCTCTTCCGCCCTCCTCCACTACACTTCTCCGGGCACACATGTGCCATGGAACGCCGTCCGATGCGAACCAACGATGCCACCGAGGCACCGCAGGATGCTGCTGGCGAGGCAAGCGCGACAAAAACAGTGTGGAATGGAGATTTGCCGATTCGAAGTCTCTACCAGAAATTGCCGAAGGCTCTCGATATGCTTCGTTCACTGCTGGTGGCACATATCGGCAAGCGCTCCAAGAGCGTCCTGGCTTTCAATATCATTGCCGCCATCCATTGTTCGCATCGTCGAGATAATTGCACTGCGAGTCTGAAACTCATTCCCCGCCTTCCGTGCAAATGTGAGAATGCATCAGGTGACATCCTTAGCATTATGGCGGATCCCAGTTTGCCTTTTCGCCTTTACCCAGAGCACCAGAGGCGTGACAGTCGCATGGCCACTCACGCCCAAGCAACAGGAATTGAGACGCTGGAGAGTAGCTGTGTCTCGGGAGGCACTACGAGGAGTACCTGACCGCCTTTGAGGTACAGGGTCGGGTGCAGCATTTGCACTTTAACTTGCCGCACCCATTGTCCTGCTGACGAAAACTTTCTGCAGGAGGTGCAGATTCCTCGGGCCCTGGGCCGGAGACTGGAAGATACCGAGAAGGCCATGCAATGGGGAAGAACGGTGCTACTGCAGAAGCCACCAGTTCCGTGCAAATGCATACACACTGGGCAGGCACAAGGCAGTCTAGCAGGATCCAAGCTGCTACGAATCTGAACCCCGAGAGTCGCGGACCCTGTCTGGGTACCTCGTTTACATCGTTTGCTTTCCATTCTCACTGCTCAATGTCTACTCCGCTTCACACTCCCCTGAGCCCGAAACACTATAGAATTTCTCCGACAGACAAACCTCGTGTTATTTCCCGCTGGACATGTTTCGGGACTTGAGGACCCTGCCACGACATGCCCGGACATGCCTCAGCTTGCGAACGCCGCCTGCACGAGACTTCGCATCAAGTCTCTACACACCAGATCCCCCCGGCCCCACACCGTCCAACAAGAACCTATCTAATCACATTCGAGAGAAGCCCTAGGCCCTGGCGGCCCTAGCCGACCCCTCGACGTCCAGGCAGAGGTGGCCCACATGGAGAACATAGCCGGCGAGGCAGGACAGAGCTTGGGTTTTAGGGTTCAAGGCCAAGCACGGGCTTTCGTTCAGTTTAGGAATTGGGGCCTGCAGCGCCTGCCTCTTGCCAAGGGCTTCCTGCCTCGCACGACTCTGGCTGCAGTTTTTGCCCGGGCCGCCTACGGAGCGCTGATGCGCCAAGAGACTCGGCCGAGACTAGATCAGAGAGCGGCTCCGATACGAATTTCTGCTTTTCGAGCTTTCGGTGCCTCTCCGTGGCGGGTGGCCAGTGGATCACAAAGGCTACAACTTGTCGGCCTGTAGAATGGGATATCTTTGCCTGTCAGCATCGGCATGTTCTTCGTCGCACCCGGTGCTAAGCTTGAAGGAAGCCTGGGCCTTCGCTATAGTGTCTCAGGTATGAGGCAGTCGAGGAGCAGGGCACTCTCCAGTTGCTTGCAAACACTTTTGTCAGGGCGCTGGGGACCGAGTTCGTGGGTTCCTGGGTGGCGCTGCTCGATCAGCCGCCGGCACATGGGATGCAGAGGCACACACCGAGGCCCGCGAGAAAGCGGAGAGAGCCTGGGAGCCACGGGATTCGGAATTGCGCTTCTGACATGTTCGAAGATGTGTGGAGATGGCACATTGAGGGGAGCTGACACTTCAGCTCATAGCTTTGGCAAGAGTTTGGCACCCAATCGCTGACTCTGCCTATGTGCTGTTTGTTCCCAGGCTTTTGTGGAGCTGACGGGGGCGCAGCGGGCGGACATAGTAAAGGCACAGTGGAGTTTTTGGCCGCAAAGTCAGTCTCGGGAAACGGGCCAAACGGGTATCGGGACCTATTGGGACACTCGCATCGCACTTCAATTTGGTCTGCAGCAAGATATTATGCCTGACTGCCCTGGTGTGGAGTGGAGTGGCTAGTGGAGTGATTCATGGTGGATTTCGTGTGATGCTCTCGGCTGCCATCACATTGAGCCCATCACTCAGGACGGAAAGACCGTTTGAACCGGCCTACGTGGTCTTCTGGGTCCATCGGATGCGCTGGTCGCTGGGCTGCCGCTGTGGTTGGAAGGGCCCTGATTGCTCCTGGCATCGTTGGGACAGAGATTTGGAAAAGAGTAGTTTCGCCTTCTTCCGCCCGCTGCAGCATCGCAAAAGTCATGCTGGGCAGCGACAGACTCCAAGATGCGGCTGTGTAAGGTTGGTGCTTGCAGTGCGGGGATCTTGCGAGTGGAGCGCTGTGCTGACGGATGTGGCTGCCGAGGCGCTTGGTCGGGAGAAGCCCCAACTGTGGCATTCAAAGCCTATACTTGTGACTACTGAAGTTCGCAGACAGGTATCATAGATGGCAAGTTGCTTGCTGTCTCGCTCCGCAGGAGAGCCTTGTAGCGGGCGGTTTGGCCCACAGCGGGATGGCACGTGCAGCAAGGTGCGGTCGGTTGCCAGTGTTCAGAGCACTCACATGCGAAAGGCGACATTTCAAAAGCAACAGCACTGCAACATGCAGCGATTGAACCAAAGAAGCAACGGTTTCGTGGTGACCAAATGTCCAGCGACATGATGCGACTGTAAACCAACCCTCGAGCATGCTTGTTCTCAACATCCGGCTGAGTCTCACTGGACAGGTGGATCCTCAGCACTGCAGGGGCCTGCATGGCCTCGGCTCTGCAGAACATCCCAGAGTACCGCCTTATCTGCACCGGGCACTCCCTTGGAGCGGATGTGGCCGAACTGGCCACTCGGCAACTAGAAGCCCTGAGAGAGCAGAGTCACCTGGCACATCCTGGCACACTTAGAGGGCAGCAAAGTAAGCTCAGTCTTTCGCATCTATGGGAGGTGGCCATCATGCTGCGAGAAGGCGACACCGGCGCCGTCTCCATTCCGAAGAGCTGGGGATCTAGCGCAGATCCAGAGGCCAGAGGCATGGAGACCCGCTGCTAGATGTAGAGAGTAGGCCATGTAGCGATGGGATATACTGCGGCCCTGACATTGTGGGTTGGAAGAGGGTGGCAGGCTCTTGACGCCTTCCTGAATGTTGAGCCCGTGCTCGAGAAGGGCTACAAAGCGGATGCGGGCAAGAACGCCGCTAGCACAAACAGAAAGCACTCAACACGCAAAAAGTGGTTCCAGAGTATGGTGGTGTCCTGAGGATCTGGGTACAGACTACCCAGTCGCAATGCGGAAGGCCTTCGCTTACGGCTTTGGTGCATCGCCGACCTTCGGCGCTGTGTTTCTAAACGTTTACATGTTAATCTGAAGCGACCCTGAGATGCTGTCTTGGTGAGCCGGTCAAACGCTGAGGATTGTGTCACCAGAGCTGGCTAGCCGCTGCGCTTCTTATGCCTGGGTCCTGGAGAAGTGTTGCGACGGGGTTTCTGTTGACGGACAGGGCTCTGGAGGTGACGACGGTTGATTGCAACGCAGCAGAACAAGCTTTGTCGGAAACGGCTCAGTTCCAGAGGATCCGAGAGTTTTGTGTTCGAAATCCATAAGGTCATGTCCACAGCCTTCGATGCCGATTATATCACGCGCGTCTCTGTCTTCGGCATCGACAAGCTTATTCTGCAGCTTACGGACGCTTGGACGGGCCCGTTCACCCGAAGCACTCGAGGTGGCTGTAATTGGCGTGAGAGAACTCGGTCAGTCGGTCAGACCCACTCCCACTCCTACGGTCCTACGAAGCCTGTACTATAGCGCAACCCACATTTTGCAGGATCCGAAGAAGTTATATGTCTGTACTCCGAAAGGAACGGAGCGCGCCAAACATGGCCAAGCAGTGGATATTTCAGAAACTTGGCCGTGCAAGCGGCCTGGCCGCATCTATCGTCGGGATGCCCTGTGAGTGAAACCCAGAGATACACAGGCTACTAGGCCAATAGGCTAATTACCCTGAGCTCCTGGCCAAGCCACCGCCCTCTAACACTTCCAAGCCTGCCTTCGACTTGACAGAAGCTCTAAGACTCTAAGTCGGCGCCCCGTTGTTCGGTGCCTTACAGCTTCGCGAATCTTGCAAAGCTGGCCGAAGACCCCAAAACCTGGAGCCTCTGACCATCTCTAGCTAATTCGAAGGCGAAGGCACATCCACCAGCCCTCGTCTGAGGGCATTCGGTGCCGAGTCGCAGGTGCCGGAGGCCTGGAATGAGTTGCGAGATTTGGAGGATATTGTATCTGTATGTGTGTGCGTATGCATCTGTGCAGATAGGTAGATTCGTAGATAATCGCAAACACGAATCCACCCATCCATACATCCATGCGCATACCTACATGCATATTTACTAGCTAATATAGTTGCGTCGCGATGAGGTCTAGCCTCAGGAGGTTCAGCAGCGGAGGTTCTCGTGTTGAGCGCTCGCGTGATGGAAGGTTCTCCAGGGAGGCTGCTTCATATGGACTGTCGGGGTGTTGGCATGTCCACCTCTCCGACACGACTATTCTGGCAACGTGGCTGTGTTTAATGTGCTTGTGGCTATGTTCCCAGACGACAGCCACCACATGCAGCAGCATTGATCTTTGCAATAGTGAAGAGATTGGTCGAAACTAGCGGAAAGTCGACCTAGAATGAGGTCCGACGATGTTGACTGCACATGACGATGCTGATCATGATGATGGTGACAAGTGAGAATGATGAGGATGATTAGGATGATGTTGATGGTGGTGATGGTGATGGCGCTGAGGAGAAGGATGAGGATGAGGATGCTGTTGATGATGATGAGGATGAGGATGATGATCATGGGGAGGAGGAGGAGGAGGCGGAGGAGGAAGACGAGGATGACGATGATGCGCATGATAGGGATGAGGGATGAGGAGGAGGGAAGGAGCTTTGGCAAGTAACATTCGAATTAGAGGTAGCGGTGTTCGGACTTCTCGTTCGACTGTTTGCAGGTATTGTTCTTGCTGTTGTTGTGCTACAAGGTCGCTACAAGCTGAATAATCCCTCCCAACCACCCCGCCCCACATGGACCAACCCACGATCAAGAAGCGAGGGCCGCGAATCGGGAAAGGGCGGCTGCCTTTGGTTTTTGCCGAAGGCACCCAGGTGGATTAGTGGTGCTTCATTGCCTCCATAACTTAGGTCGCTGTGCCAGCTTGCAGTAGCCGAGGGCACCGGCGAACTCCTCTGAAGCGTCATCCCCACCCGAAATCACCTGCAGCATTTGCGAGTCAAGTCAATGTCAAGATAGTGGTATCTGTGATGCCTGCTCCAGAGGTTTCACCCGAAGTTCGTGCCCTGCAGCATGAGTTTGCCTTGCTCCGGGAACAGATCCGCGAGGACTTCCTGGACTTTGCCGAGCGGCTGAAGGCCCTGGAGACCTCGAAGCCGGAGCTTTCAGACAGAGGGCTCAAGAACCGGCCTACGGAGCCGAAAAGCAAGGAGGACGGGGAGGAGAAGGAGACTTGCCAGAAGCTGGAAGACCTTGAGCTGCAGCAGGGATCCGAAGCCGTGGGGACTCAAGTTGGTCCTGTGCACTTCGGCGAGAGTGCCTGGACCTTTCCGGTGATTCTGGGTTTGACCAGCGCAAGTGCACTCGAGGTGGTTTTTGCAGTGTTGCTCCTGCTGATAAACTTGGGAATGCAAGTCATGTTTGCAGAGGTTATTCTTGGGCCCAGCTTCATGGGGTCGCCTTTCGAAGAAGAAGTCGACACAGCCAGACGGTGGCGAGCAGGAATTGCACATGACTACAAGTACATGGATCTGCAGCAGACCAGCCTTGCCACTCGGGTGTGCAGTGCAGATGGCGCCCTGATCTTGTCAACCGTTCAAGCTGGATCCTAAGTCGGACATTGCTTTGACTTTCCTTGGCACTCTGGCATGTCCCGACACATGCAGAGATCGTGTCGATTGCAGCTGCCCCCCTCTCATGCCCACAGTTGGTTAGATTTGGGTTGTCTTGGACAGACATATGAATAAACTCAACGGCGGTAGCAACGCAGCCAAGAGGCAGAGGCAGCAGGTTCAGAGGCAACAAGGACGGACCACCAAGTGCAAAGAAACCACAAGCCATAGCAAGGAGTGTCCAAGAATCAGGCGAGACTACGGTGACTACAGAATCCTTGCCACATCATCGGGCGGGAGATGCAGATCAGTCGAAATTGTGTGGCCCAAGAACACTCTAGATCATGTTAACGGTGCTCGAGCCATGTGAGTGAAGAAGAGAAGTCAGATAGGTGAAGACCCTGCACATGTACTCGCCTCATCCCTGTTCGATCCTGTTCGTGCCTATGTGCGAGTCTGATCTGTGTCCCATGTTGATTCGACCTGGATTTGCAGGCAACGTTGGTAAATCACATCAACGCCTTCATGGGACTGAGCACCAGTGATTTTGTCCCGGGAACGTATCAGCCTGGAATTCTGCTCTGCGTTCTTTGCATTCTTCTGTGGAGCCTGTGTGTATACAAGGAGTTCAGAAATATTCTCTTATCCGTGGAAGCTATCCTAACGGTGCCTCTGACGCCAACGACCGTATATAGAGACAATACACTTCACAGTCTGTCAAGGACACGCCAGCAAATCCTGCTGGTCACGTTTTTCACACGTACTGTGATTGCTTCTGTGCTTCTGATTGCTGGAATCAGATGGCTCGCCCGAACTACGTCGATTACAGATTTGATGCTGAATGCCGTCGCGCTGAATGCCATTCTGGACGTTGACGAGTGGTTATTTGCTGGTTTCTCCCCTATTTCCATCGAGCTCTCCGTGAAGCAGTTAAACCCGATCACCGTCCGCTACAGTCAACGGAGGAGTCAAGCCGAAGCGGTTGGTCTCTTGGCTCTGCTCCTAACCACGTTGCTTATTCCCTACGTCGTTCTGCTCCAGCCCTTGGGGCAGACGATGAGTGACGTGAAATGGGAGATGTGTGCAGGTAATCAGAATTTCGTGGTGGTGCAAAATGCCGAGACGCAAGTGATCACAGGCATGGATACAAAGAATTATTCCGCTGCCGATATCTCAGTAATTGAGCGGGCAGTGCAGCGCCAGATCCACTCTGCTCGCGACGAAGTATCATACTACATTTCCTTCCAGCCTGGGCAACAGCAGTTTGAGCTTCAGAAAAATCACGATATGCACTCTGACCAGGAGCAGTGGACAGCCTGTGTGGAGACTGACTATCTGCAACCGGGGGGATACCTCTACGGGGATCCCCTTATGGGAACTTTGGTCCTCCCTCGTCTTCACACTGCCTTGGCCATGCTGGGAGACTTTCGGGAGGTTGGGAACTGCACTGAGGTCCAACATCTCTGCGACCTGCCCCAAGCGCGCCTGCTGCGGATGGTCTGTGGCGCCACCTGCGGCTGCACCGATCCCCTGAGCCAGCCTTTCCACAAGGCATGGCCACCTCCCCCCTCCCCTAAGCCCAAAAATAGTGAGGCAGCTTGGCAGCTGTATTCCGTGCATGTGATTCCCTGAGCTGGAAGGTGATCCGGGGCGGTTGCACGGAGTCCTGCCTGAAACTCAATGAGCCGTTGCTGAGCCAAGTTGCGTGCAAGGATCAAGTGCCAGGCCAGGGTGAGAGCTCCGACGGATGGCAGGGGCAATGGGAAAGCTTTTGGGACATCTACCCAGATGCCTTGTCTGATTTCTTCGGCAACGACATGTCGCAGACGGTGATTTATTCAAACATCAAGAACCTCGTCGCTGAAATGAAAGTCAGAGGGTGCCCAGGTCTTGCAGACCCGAGCCTTCAGTTCGAAATCACAAGCTCAGCCAAGTGGTGCGAAGGCTTCGAGCCCTTGTTCCGACCTTTGGCCTACATCTGTCCAGAGAGCTGCGGCTGTCACTCGGCGTCGGCGCTGCCGAAGCCGAACTACTGCCCCGACCCTTGTGGAAATGTCACAGCGTGAGCTCGAAGAGCTCAGTTGAAGGGCCTGATCGCAGAATCGTTCACCTTCGTTTTAGATTGTCTTCCTTTGTGGATCGGTGAGGGTTGGCTCCCCACCCGTCCGCTGCTTGAGCCATGCAAAGCAGGGTGCAGCACAGAGGAGTGCAGAGGGCTGTGCGAGCATTAGATTCTCATTAGATCTGGTGCAAACGGTTCGGCACTGCTTGAACCGCTCAGTGGAGTAACTCTGACACCAGCAGCTGCAAAGCCAAGGTCACTGCCAAGTTTCTACCACGATGCTTTGCTGAAACCGGTGTTGCATTTCCCTATTCATGAGGAAGACACGACAGGCGGCCTGTCCTTTTTAGGAGCTGTACATCAGCGGGCATATGTTCCACGACCACCTGCCAATCCGTTACGTGGAGGGCCTCCTGGAGGTGCTGCGCGCCAAGCTTAGTCAGCCAGGCTGTGAAGGACTGTCGCTGACATGGACCCGGTCATGGCCAGCACGATGAGGTCGTGCCATTCCGGGTACTGCGCAAGGCCTGTGCCTGAAGGACCCTGACTCTGACCTGCTTTCATCGGTGTCCGAGACGTCCGATTCTGGTTCCTGACAGGACAGGGCCGAGGAGCCGGACGCCCAGGAGACCGTCCGCAGCAGCTTGGAGGCGCGGTCCCAGAAACGGTCACCACGCGCATGAAGGCGAGAGTCGAGAAAGGGCTGGTCCTAGCAATTGAGAAATCCGAGCCTGGCTAGGATATCCTAGGATCAATCCTTCCTTACGACAGCAGCAGGGTGGCGCAGAAGGGGTGCTGCCCAGTATGTCCGGTCAGGTTATCATTGCGAACTGGTCTGCCGGGCGTGACACATCCCCGAAGGGCTGATGTGCGGTCTGCTGGATTCGTCATTAATTACCGCAGCTTCTTTTCTCGTCTGCCACAAGGTGTCAGCAACGTCTGGCACCTTTGCAGAATCTGTCTTACACTGTAAATGAACGGACGAGCATGACTCTAATCAGGGTCGTCATGGTCGCACCAGAGCCTATGAAGATGATGAGCAGGTTGGCAGCCATGCTCGCGGGGAGTCGGACCAAAATTCGGCTGACTTTCTCTCCCTCTTTTGTAGCAGCTGCTGTTTTCCCTCGGCCTCTGGCTGAGAAAAGCCCATCTCTGGCAACCTGTGTAAGATGCTGGGGTACTCGAGTTTGCCCAGACGTACCACTGCTTCCTGGGCACAACGAAGGGATTGCAGTGGAGTGCTTCGTGCGACTTCCGCGCGAGCACAAACAGAGGTCGTGCGCCGTGCCTGCGCCGTGCCTGAGTTTCAACGGGGGGTGATTCCTACGCTGTCTTCCTGCAGTGCAGGACATGGCTGAACCAGAGCACACGGCGCTCCTTCTCAAATGCTATACCAAGCTCAAAGATTTCACCACGCTGGAGGACAGGCTGCGGCCGGCCTTGAGCGAATAGGATTTGATACGCATGAAGATATTCGTTTCACAATTATCGGAGGACATCGGGCCTACAGGCGTCGTACTGTACATCTAGAACAAATCTGGACAAAGCTAACATAGATTCGACTTCATTTTCCTTTTCGCTTCGGCCGCTTGCATTCTGCCAAGTACCGAGTGATGCGCTGTCGGAATTGGATGTTGCAGCCACGCGGTGGAGTGTTCAGACGAGGCTGGTAATTAGTCAACTGCAAGGATGCCATCACTAGGTACCCGGGGGGGGGGGGGGGGGGGGGAGCTTGGTCTACAACATTGAAGAACCATGCATTGCATATCAGCCCGAGTATTGCACTGACTGGCAGGAGTTTCTGAAAACCACACCACCTTCTCAGTACGATCATGCGACCGCCATCGAGGCAGCTTGCACTCAGATGGACTCAGCATGCTTGTCGGTTCTGTGGAAAATGGTGTTCCTTGCTGTCAGACAATACTGCCGGGGTTTGCTTTTCAGAGTTCTCATTCGAGACAAGCTCAGAGGATTGTTTTGCAGCACCGCAGAGCTCAGCAGGTGTTGGAGTCGGCAGCATACCACGGGCTGGCTGCAGAAGTGGCTCAAAAGGCCATGTCGGGGATGCCCATGAGAGTCCAAGAGCACAGCACAACAAAGCGCTGCGGCGCAGTATGTTACATTCACCGCCTGCACCCGGGTGACTCTTGGACTGCCCAAGTTGCGGTTGCGTATTCCTCAGCCCCATAGTGCCATAGTGTCTGAAGTGCCATCCACGGAGACAGAGCTGTAAAGGATGCTCTCTGAGGAAGATGCGGTCGTGTTTGCACCCTGTCCAGGTGGGCAGTCATGACGACTTTGTGCGAATCTCCTTGGAGCAGTTCAAGCCTCGGGAAATAGAGCTGCGTGCTGCATTTGTGTCAAAAAACACAATGCCTCGAGGTTCAAAAACTACGGCACAACAGTCCAGTTCTTGCACTCCTTACCTCGCGTCGAGGACCCTACAGGGTCGGACGAGCCTAGGCCAGAAGTCAGGGGAGTCATGACGCAGCAGCTAAGCTCTGTTACGGACGCCCCCTGCCCTGTCCCAAAGTATCAATATAAATCACTGAGTCCGATATATTGCCGACGCCACTCTTTTTGTCAGGCAGGAAGAATACTGCTCAACTATGGGCGGACGCTCATGCGCCACGCACCTAAGGAGACGGGCAGATTGCAAAGATTGGCACAGCTTTGCAGAATTTCATGAGCGGCATCTGTCTCTCTTTGCGAGGGAGTGCCTAGAAGCAGCCTGGACATACGGCGACGACTTCAGGAGCATGACGCCGCCTGTATCTGCGCCAGGAGACAGTGAAACTAATTCGTCACGTGTGCAACCTTCGCGGCCAGCCGATGGATGGCCAGGTGCCTTCTGTGCACTTTCAACGTCGCAGTCGGAGTTTATTTGAAATAGGTAAGGAGATGTCCTGGAGTCTCCTGCAGGCACTCCAAGCTGAGAGCCAAGGCCTCCGCCAGTAAGTGTTTTAGTCCCATTGTCCTTCCACCATCTTACTGGATCCGAAGGTCCGACGGTTGACGAGCTGTTGCCGGTCTTTGCTGCTCGATTTGAGAAGTTTGGACAGCTCCGATACTGCAAAAATCAAAGTTGCTCTCCCCAAGGCTGACGACCTGCAACAGCTAGAGGCCGGTAAATAGGGGCAAGTTGCATAAAGCCTGCAAGTGCGGTGCACGGATATTAGGTCTTCCTCCGCTCCGTCTTGGTGGATGATGGCTGCCAGCTGCCGCAAGCCCAGGTTGGACGCTGAGTGGATAAGAGAGATTTCAGTCAATTTGAGTCTTTGCTCCTGACAGAGGGGGAAAGGGGGGCAGCGCACGCTTCTCAGGCAGAGCGGCTGTTTCCGACACTCCTGGAGTTGTTGGTGCCCGGACTGCCATGCCTCGCTCTGGAGCCGTTCTTCGCTGCTTTGTGAAGGTGAAGTCGCATAGCTCTCTGCACGCAGATGGAAACATCCCTGCCGAGAAACAGGAGGCCTACAAGCTTCGGTGGCTGTGATGAGCCTACCTCGTTGTCGAACGATTTTTCTATCGATGCAGATGGCCAGCTGCATAGCGGCAGACATCATGCGGCTAATCCGGCAGCCACTCGGTCGCAGTGCGGCGGCTAAGGGCTTGGTCGGTTTCTGGGCCATCGAGGTATCCCAGCGATGCTGCTTTAGCCAACACCTTGATGGTCTGCCAGTCGGGCTCCCAGCCAGCTCGCGAGTGGGGGGTCGTCGTCATCATTTTTGTGCAGGGCGTTCGGCTTTGTGGACGGCTTCTTCCATGCTGCGGAGAGATTGCACCGACACCAGCTCCTGATGCAATGGTGCTTTGAGCACAAGGAGCCGTGCATCGTGCATGTAAAGCTCGGCTTGGAGCGTGTCCAGCGTGTTGGCTCCGGGCTTCCCGCACAGACGCCTGCTCTTTTCGGGGCTCCAGGATGCAAAGCGTCTCCTGGAAGTCTGCAAGCGCTACGGCCCGGCTGACCAAAGTCTCTGGGTGCAGGCTCCAAATCCCGGTCCTTCGATCTGCGATGCCATGCCATGCCCTGCCTGTAACAGCTGTTTTTTTCTCGTTTGAGGCGCTATCCTTCCTAGCCTCCCCGGAGAGCGGAGGAGGGCACCTCGAGGAGATGGGCGAAGTTCTGCGGCACATCGAGGAGAGGAGCTTGCTGCAAGCACTCCTGCTTAAGGCTTAGGGATCAGCCCCGGATTCAGCCTAGACAGGAGACGGTGTAGAATATAGAAAGCTGCAATTTGTGGAGCTCTTGAACCGGGCTGAGCTTGTCTCGAGATTTGGTCAGGACAGTGATCTCATGCCACTTCTGCTCGTCATCGAGACCCTCCGCTCAAGCAACGAGGAGAGCGGTGCATCCCATGAATCCCATGGTCATGTTACAGTATTAACATTATTAAACCGATTCATGTCAGGAGGCCTTCCCGAAGTGGGAAAGATAATCCTTGCCTCACTGCACTTTCCGCTACAGGTGACCATCGGTGACGTCCGTCCATACTTGCAGGCCATTCTATGCCTGTCCAGCTCACGACAGCGGCAATGTCAGTGCACAGCGCCACAGGCCCAGTATCGTCGGCTTGTCGAGTCTGCGGAGACGTCCCGGGCTAAATCGACTCAGGAGCATTTGCCAAAGCTTTCCCCTTCCGATTGCAAAAGGTTTAGTCCATTCTGCCCAGCGGCTTAGCTTGGCGCAGGATCGTCAGGAGATTGCTCGCATGCAGCAGGAGATCATCCAGCTCCGAACGCAGGACGGGGCGGCTTGTGAAACCCATGCAGTTAGTTGAGTCGCATGATCACACCTGGCAGCGTGCCGTAGATCGTTGGGCCCCTTTTCAGCTTCCATGGAGGCCAAAGAGTTCCAGAACACTCGATGCTTCCAGACTCTTGGAAAGCACTGGCATGATTCTGTATGGTTTCGGTTTAGTAGCATCACTGCGTTGGGAAGTAGCAGCCCATCAGTCAGTGTTCAAGAGGCTGTGTACAGAGGCAGCCAACAGCCCCCCACATCTGACCGGCAATCGTCCAATCGCGTCACAGGCACTGTTAAATAAGGCAGTAAGGTTGTTGCCATATGGTGATGCCTACCTTTCTGAATGGACTTGCTTGGGTTAATGGTCTATTTACCATATGTAAGGTCGAGGCTTCCTCCCGGAGCTATTTAGGCACAGCGACTCCAACCTCGACGACGAGCCCTCTGTCAGTGTGCCTGCCGGTGTCAGAGTTTCCTAAGAGCTCGCCACGAGTCGATTCGGAGCAGCCCTTTGGCTTGCATCTTATCAAAAGCTGGAGGGGGAAAACCAGAGTGCGATTAGTGTGCTCTAGCAGCAAAGTACACCTCATATTCGGCTGAGTAGAAATCTGACTCGACCCCCTTGTGCAGATGCTGTTGCACGTAGCCCGGCGCCATAGCAAAAGCCATATCGCAGGCAGTAGATCCCACACAAACCAAACAGATGCAAACCACGACCATATCAAGCCATATCACAGGTCACTTGTTTGGACCTTGGATAGTGCCGGGTATTCCTCACGGGTATGGGGAGGCCATCCCTGCACAACGTACATACCTTAGATGTCAAAACACCTTGGCAGAGGTGATATAAGCACATCAAGCAAACAACGCGTGGCAGTTAATGACAGATCTACAACGGAGTAAACCACAGCCTTGCGCCTATTCCTCCAGGGGCGGGAGGCAAACAGCAAAGCAACACTCCAAGCGATTGTCAGAAAAACCGTGCCCACTCAAGACATGCCTGTAAATATGCACAGTGACCGTGCTTGCACGAGCACGCATGCCGAGCTTAACCACCAACCAAACAGGGGCTGATGAACAACTCAGCCTTCACACTCGTCGGCTGCGTGACTTGAGTATCTTTCCTAGTGCCTTACTAATTTGCTCAGGAACTGCCAGGTCGGGAAGACGAGTCGGGGTGCCGACAAACAGAGTCGTTGCCGGTGGAAGTGGCCGCCACTGGCCCGTAAGGTCAAGCCAATATCCTGAAGAATCGGTTTCTGAGTACTGCGCACGGGGCTCATGTTGATGTTCACGGAGTGGGCCGCGAAGGCCTCGCTAGCGATGCCCACCGCCACATCGAAGCACCTGCCGGTACCGCTGGTCCGCTGGAGGTAGTAGTCCCCGTTGTCGAAACTCTGTGGCGGAAGAACCAGAGCACAGCACACAGGAAGGGCGGGGTATGCATGACCACCTGCTGATTGTGCATCGGCGCCATGGACGTGCCGACGAAAGCAATCCAGCAGTCCCAGTAGAGCAGTCCATCCTGGAAGGTTGGCGCCTTTACCGTCGTTCGGCCGCCCGCTTCCCAGATCCCTTTGGGCGAAGACTGCGGCGTCGAAGGCAATCTCGATGGCTCTTGGCGTGCCCGCCACTCCCACCGACTATCCAGCGCTGCTGGTGTTTCGAGCCGTTGTACAGAACCATATTACATACTTAAATATCTGTGCTGGCTCATCTACTTTGTATTTCTAGCTGTCTATGTAGACGTTGTTTCTGCACAGATAGATACTAGGCCCGCAAATACGGCTGAACCAAGTAGTGGAGCCGGAGCTGTCGGACGCAGTGCGTACGACCAGCGCGACTTTATCCAAGATGCCACGAGTACGAGTGGCAGCAGTGGAAAAGCAAATTCGAATTTCACGATCTTGGCCCTGACATCGGCCGATCTGCTGCCCATGAACACAGCGTGATCCGTCGGGCACTCTGGTTCCCAGCGGCTTCTCAAGAGATGCGACACCTCATCGACGGCATGAGGGCCCCAGAGACCGAGCCATGAGGTCAGGAGCAGACACTCCGCCATGAGCACTCGAACAGAGGTCGTGTGTTTTTTCTCCATGTTGAAGGATTGCTCCGGAGCTGCTGTGCTGCGAAAGTTTCGACATGCCGAGTCGCCAGCCGAGGTGTGGTTTGACGCTGGAAGTCCCTGCTGTGCACTTCTTCTGTGGTCATTCGCGCCTTGCCCAGCGCATCATCCCATAGTTCCGCATCAACTCATACTTCATGGACCTGAACCTGAATTTGTTCGAGATGCCTTCGGATAAACTGGCACAGGCTGGGCCAGAAGTAAGGGCAAAGACCAACTTTGAAAGCGTTCGTCGAGGTATCACGCTTACTGCGTGCCACCGGATGGCACCTGTCCGAAGTGCTCTTCGGGAGCTCTTCCGAAGCTTTCACTCAAGGACTGCCTGACTGTCAAGCAGCCTCACGGGATGAATATCCACTCGTCTCAGCATGATCGCGACAAATTTCACTCGAACCGCAGGAGCAGCGAGAAGCTCAGGCAAGAAATGCGGAGGCAGCGAAGCAGTCTCGTGCTAGGGCCGCTAGCGGACCTAAGACATCGGACATTGGAATCTCTCCATGAATTTCACACTGGTCGACCCGAAACGTACCGTGTTCCGAACATGTCTCCGAAGAGCTTCTACACCACACAGCATCGTCGAGCCTGTTACACCCCAAACTCTTTTGATCTGCCAGGACTTCTTCAAGTACCTTCAGGGTGGAGCCGGTGACAGCGGCATACAGGCGATGGGAGAGTGGTGCCTCGGCATCTATACTTGTACTGAAAATACTTATCCTGACACTCTTGATGCAGAAGCTGAATGCATCTGACAGCCGGCACGGAGAACACACTACGCGCACAAGCACACACAAACACACATACACGGAGCCTCCGACGGAGCCTTCAATTGGCAGCCGACGGCTACGGTGCATCGTACGAATACCGATGCTGTCGAGAAAGTCAAAGGCTCCAACTTTGTAACACCCGGCAACAAACCGCCAGCCCTCCTACCAGCTGTCAGCAAGCCTTCTGAGCACAAAGGTAGTGCGGGCATCTACTCGTGAAATGATGTGAACTCGCATGACCACTGCGATACCGTCGCCCCGCCCACATCCCTGCCTGTGCATTACAAGTAGTCGGCGTGTTGTGTACCCGACACTTCTTTGAGTGGATTTTGATGAGGTGTAAGTTTGGGGCGTTCGACGCCAGCATGGCCAGCATGGATCTGGAGGACGAGGCACTTCCTCGGTGTTGACGTTCTTTTGGTTGATGCTGTAAACTGTGCCGTCCCATGCTGGTGGAGACACATCCTTAATCCAAACTTTCCATGGCTGCAGGAGGATTGACAGCTGGACGACGTCTTGTACATCGTAGGCTTGAGAAGCAAGGAGGCAAAGCTCTTTCCGGAGGCTCAACAATTGTGCCTTCCTCCTGGCCGTTAATGAGAGGCGCAACTGCAGGGCCAGCCTGCTGGAATGGCACCACAGCGGTCCATCCCTCTTGCATACGTCCTCAGTAGCTATCCCGTCGTGCGACGACCGCGGATAGAACTTAGCGGAAATCATCTCGCGGTGCCAGCACTGCCTGGTGATGCATGTTCTTGCAGACTCTCAGAAGCATGAAGAAGCCTTCTGCAGATCCGATCGTGGCATATGGCAGGTGGCGATTCTCAGCCTCGGCTCGCCATGCCTGTTTTCCTTCTATCCCAAAACGGGCACCGAGGAGTTCGGCAAAAAAGCGGGCATATGGGAGCTCGTTTAACAAGATTCTCTCACTGCGGCACGCGAGGACTGCATGAAGTGGGATCCTGCCAACGACGTACCTGGTGGCTACCAGGCACCGGAAGTGCAATGAGTCGTGTCTGGAGCGCGGCCCGATTCGTTCAGGGCAATCAGTCAGCCATGAACACGCTCTTTGTCGAGCCAAGGCCTGCAGCCACATCGCAAAAAAGAGCTGGATATCTTAGAACTGATGATTAGTCCTGGTGATTTGCCACAGAAGAGTGGGAATTCCTCCCGTCTTGCTCTAGTACTTGACGTGTTGGCGGGTCAAAGCCGTCGGTAACGCACGGTCACTTTCGCAGAGTGCTCATGCATCGCCTTGGAGGAGTTTACTGATTTTCAGTGCCCGACTCAGTGCTCATTGCAGATTGAAAAGGCACCAGCAGAAACCCACTGGAAAAAGCCTTGACAGGTCATGATGCCTTCTGGCACCATCGGCATGGCATCGACGCAGCGGCCGACTTCCTACAGAGTCTGCACCGGAACACCCTGTATTGTATCATCTGCAAGCCTCTAGTGGGTTCATCCATGTTGACCGTTCTCAGGCATCCGAAGACATCCCGTCAAATTTGGTGAATATGGAGCAGGCCAGGGGCGGACAGCGCAACGGACCTGGGCGGATGGTTTTGGCTCAGGCCGCTGCTTGGGGCTACAAGCCTGGGGACCGGCTAGAGCGAGCTCGCCGCGTCTCCTTTACCATGAGGTGAGCGGGGGCTCAGTTGAGTGAAGATGTGTCCAGAATTCTGTAACGCTGGCCGAGCACTGGAGGCATCTACTTCCTCGCTGTGCTTGCCAGGGCTGAGCTTGGCAGGGACTTCTTGCAAGACTTCGTACAGCATTGCAAGGAGATGCAAAAACAATGCCAAACACTATCCCCGATGTTAGGCCAACAGCCAAGAACATGACATCGGCTGGCATGTAGGTAGGATAAAAAGCCAGCAGATCTGCCGAAGCAGCTGTCCATCCGGATCTGCGAGCTGCATGCTGAGATGCATCGAGTTACTCAGATTCGGAAGCACGCTGCAGTCATCCAGTCACACAGATGTCTATTGCGAGCGGAGACGTGCACTCCGGATGTTTGCAAGCACACCGCGCGTCGAAGATGGCATGCTGGTGGTCACAAACTTTTTGCTCAGTTTTGTGTGCAGTTTCTGACCAGGTTCCCATGCAGCTTGGATTGTCAGCGGCAGTTGAAAATTTGTGGGTTGTCCGCCCTCGTGCTGTCACTGACACAGAAAATTTGCTCATGGTTGATGGGGACCATGCAAGCTGTCCAGCAGGGCTCACCATGACGTCACGAAACATGAAACGCGTGATCAGAATCTGCATTGGGAAGTAGAACCACTAGGCCGCAGGCTTGTGGAGCCCTCACGGATGGTGCTCCTGACCTTGGCTGCCCTGGCCGCCGGTGCCGCTGGTGCCGGTGTGACATGGAGCAGGTGGTGCTCGGACTTGTTGGATTTGTGCCGGCAGGGTCCTATGGAGCCCTTGTCAGGTGTGGCAAGAAATCACTTGGACGGCAGATGAAAGGCTTTGCTGAATCCTTGATTAGCAAGGCGCTCGCCGGGAGTTCGTGCCTTGTCCAAGAATCGGCAACGTTCGTGTTCCTGCTCCGGCTAGTATGTCGCATGTGCTCAGGTGCAAGCTGGGAGGTATTGACTTCAAGATTTCCGGCTGCGAGATGCAGATCGGAGTGTCAGGTGGTTGTCTCGCGGCATAGCATTGAAGCAGAAGGATTGCTATTACTGGGTGCATGAGACAGGCGTGGAAGTCGGAAACTTGCCTCCCTACAAGAGCGAGTCGCTGCTGAAGATAGCTTCCGTGTATTTGGCTGCAGGACGCTCAGTTTGTGCTGCATGCAGTGCCTGGGCAGTTGGACAACAATGCCAAGTCTGGTTATAAAGGGTCTGACGAAGTGTTTGTGTCACCGAGCGCTGGCACTCAAAACATCTAGAAATGCAGGCGAATCCTTTGCGTGAAGTCTGAGCTTTTCAGGTCTTAATACTTAATGACCAGCAAGTAGCAAAGTGTTGATTTGCTCATGTCGTGTAGCACACGTGTGTGTAACAACCCTCACAGCCGGCGTGGAAGCCCCCGAAGCCAGCGTCGACTCGGCGGCCATCCGGTCGACGTTGCGGCGCAGGGTCTGGGCCATTGTCTCCGGCGCCGTGTCCACCGTGTCCAGGAAGTCCGTGCCACTGGCCGTCGTCGCCCTGGTGGTTTTCGGCGTTGAAAAGGGGGCGTCATCCGGCGTCCTCGTCGGAGGTGCCGGTTGTCCACTGCACCTGGCCCACCCAAGTAGACGTCGGCGCTGGCACCTCGCCACCTCCATGCTGCGCCGGCGGCTGTGTCGTCATCCCTGCCGCCTCCTCCGCCCTCGCGGGGTAGAGGCCACTCATATACGCCGCCATTTCGGCGTGGAAGGTCCAACCATGGTCAGCACCGCAACTAACGCCGGTTGCGCTGCGGCGCGGCCTTGATGGGCACGTCGCGTCACTGCCGGACATGGCGTCGAGGAATGAGAATGAAGGAGTAGCAGAAAAGCTTACGTCGTTCGGGCCAGCGAACCGAGAAGGCTGCCGCCGCAAGGGGCCGTGAACCGGGGCAGGAGACAGAGGAGGTGATCAACCAGGCGGCGTCGACCCTGCTGGGGCTGCAGAACTAGAACAACGGCGATCCCGGCTGTGACCCAAGAGGTTGTCACAGTGGCGGAGAAGAGAGAGGCGACGACGAACATCCCCAGGCGTCCCCGGACGCCAGAAACGCCATGGAGAGAGGCCGGCAGACCGATTGCATGGACGCCGGCACCGCCGGTTCTGGGCTTTGTCCTCGACGCCATCCACAGCCGCCGACGAGGACTTTGGGCCCGGACATGTTCCCGCCGGCCCGTGGAGAGCCAACGCCGACAGCATCGACGGCCGAACTGACGGGCCCGGTCGGAGCCCACGGTCGGTCCCAGACGGTCGCCGAGATCGAGAAGAACATGACGCCGGAGTACCGCAGCCAAGAGGAGCGCATGCATCAGCGGCAGGAAGCTCGGCATCGCCGAGATTCGCCGCTTGGAAGCCGACGAGGCCGCCGGCTTGCCGAACTCGCGGCCAAACAAGCCGGCTGAGCGCTCCGACGCACTGCGCCTGACGCCTACCGACGGGGAATCCGCGGCGCAAGGATTTCCAAAGGTTGTGTCGCCGGGTGGTGCTGCCACCCCTGCATCCCGGGCTGCCGGTACGTCGGATCGACGACGAAGCCAATGACGGCGAAGGTCGCTGCTTGCGGCTGACCATATATATAGAGTCAAAAGAGGTCATTCTTGCGCCGTTTGCGCCGGGCTCAAAGCTGTGTGGGACCGAAGCCAGATCCTGAAGACGGCGCACGCTGCAGCCAATCGACGTTTGGCCCTCGGCCATGCATCAGGGAGGCTGTGGTGGTGTCCTGGGATGGCCGACGACGCCATCGCTGATTATACATCGCCGAGTTTGGGCGCACTGTTCGCGACGAAGTCGGCTTCTAGCATGATTTTGGCATTGCCCGCTGCACGCCGGGGAAAAACAGAGCCAGTCGAAGCCTCGCCGGTCGCGCCTTTGTGTCGTCGTCGGTTGTTCTCTCTGCTGCCTTCTTTGCTCCACCTTTGCGACGCACCTGCCGCAGTCGATCATCGCCTTCATGGCGGCTCTGTCCAAAAGGTATGGCAAAGACCCTGCGGTCAATCGCATGATGTCGGCGTTCTGGTCGCTCGCCGCACATTCAGGGCTGGTTCGTCAAGTTCGAGCAGTCTAGGTGGCGTGCCCGGGTGAGGGTTGGGCACGAGTACATGGACCCCACGACGAGATCTTGAAGGCCTTTGCCAAGGCGGCCGGCGACCTGGAGTTTGCCACTGCAGCGCCGGCCGACGAGCTTCCCCTGACGGTGCAAGGCTCGAGGCGGCGCGTTGTGGGGAGGCGGTGCGCGCGGCAGGTGCACAATGCGCCCCGGCACCGGCTAGACGTTCCAGCCTGTTTCGTCGCCGCACGGCGTGATACAGCGCCAAAACCACACGACAAAAACGAGTG